TCGAGGTCTCCTATAAATAGAATATAGAATAGCTGAAATACTCTACATTCTGAAACTTTGAACTCGTTCTGATGTTTTTTGAGTGAATAGTGAACTTTTTAATATTAGGTGAAAACAGCCTGAAAACCCTAATTTTCCTAAAACTGGCTTTTCGGTAGATTTTTCAAAAATAAATATTACCACGAAATTCAACATGATCGATTGCCCATAGTGCATTCGTCTTTAAGGCTACGAATAGTCACCAGCATTGACAATAAATCATTTCTCCTTAAATATACAGAGTGTGACTATGGTCCATGTACTAGTTTGTTCACGTTTTCATGAGCAATTTTTCTATATCAAGCTTTACCGTAACTTCATATTAGATTTTGAACAGAATCGTTTTTGTTGAGCATCGCTATGCTTTATGTATCTCCACAGAAAAGTTAATTTAAAAGGTCTCCACAAGGTTATAATGGTACGTATGCACTTAAAAATGTGTAAAATCATTTTCTCTACAAAATCTGATCAAAATTAAGTCGAAAAAGCAGTGGACCAAAATCAAAAATAATCGGCCCCTTCTTTCAACTGGTATCAACAACCCGAATGAACAAAACTAGTTCAGCAACTTGTTTATATGCCAATAGCAAGACTGAATGCAATAGAAACGTTGTTTTTTGGCAAACAACTGAAATTTGAAATGAATTAATGAGAAGGAAACTGGACATTCCAGCAGGCCGAGCAGCGCAACGAAATCATTATAGCCTGCATAACAAATGAATAGTATACATTTTGCTATGTAACGGTATATTCTTCTTAGAGTATTCTCCAATCTCTCTCTCTCTCTCTTTCCATCTTATATAATATAACATCTCAAGTAGAAGAAACGCTCATAATAATGCGAAGTTTCACACGACTGTCTCGAAAGTAATCATAACTCAGTTTTTCAAGTTTATCGAGTCGAGTTCAAGTCTGATCATAAAGTTTTCAATTCTTTTCTTTAATCAAAATGCGGAATCATAAGTGTGCAGATGTATGCGATAAATGATAGGAATCAAAAAAGAATCTGTCGTGTCATGATACTTTTTGTCACTTTGAATGGAAGGTTACGCCTGCACACTGACTCTTTTGTTGACACCACTTATTGAAAGTACCGCCCCACTTATGTTTGTGCAGCTTGTTAATCAATTGTCATGCTCCGATAGTTATATTACAATTTAAAACATTTCGTGTCCAAGAGTCCAAAATGCATTAGCGTTTTGATTTTTTCGTATTCTCATGAGAACTTCAACGATTAAGGTCATGCACAGATAGTCATTAAAAAGGAAGATGGCGACAGTGGTATAATATTCGTGTATATATAGTCATTTACATCTCTCATTCTTCTTCTTTGTTTGTACACGAGGTCTTCTTTTTTTGTAGCGGGTCTAAAGTATCGGTCTAAAGTAAAACACCGACTATGTACAGTATTCCTTTCTTAAAGCTGACTGCACTCTATCAGCTACAAGTTTATCTCAATTTTATCTTATTTTAGATACTTTACGGATTAATTACCTCATATAAATTATATTTTTTCCTGATTTATACCTTTCTTGAAAATGACTGATCAATTTGGTGTTGGTTATGGAGTCGCTCTGATTGCTGGTTTGTCAAAAAGTTTTTCCTCTCTAAGAGAACAAACTTAACCGGAAATTTTTTTTTGTTTAGTTGGATTACTAGGTCTTTTCCGAAAAAGTTTAATTTCTGCATTATTAGGGTTTGTATTATTGTAATGCAGTAGAGATCATTTAACTGACTGGATATGTTTTAGGGTTCTCTTGGGTTCTTGGTCGGTCTATAATGCTATGCATCCAAATCGTCAAAATAACGTTGCAAATCTTGCTGTAAGTATTGGCAGTTTCTGTGTAAAGCACCAATATGATGAATAGTTCAACTTTCGTTCTTCTGAAACAAGATGTTGACATGTTTTTAACTGATTGGTGTTTCCGCGAGTAACTACTTTCATAATTTTATAATATGTTATAAATACAAATATCATTATGAATATGATTTATTTTCTTTTGTTATGCTGCTCATTCGATCAAACCATGCAAAAGATAATTTGTTTTGTTTATTTAGATCGCAAGTGTTTTGGGAGTAATCATGTTACTCCGTGTATTTATATCAGGAAAATATTTTCCGGGATTGTTAATTGTTATTCTTAGTGGAGCTCAAGCATTTAGAATGTATCCATATTTAAAATAACTATATATCATACGCTGGTGATAAATGATTAACTAAGACATGCAATACACATAATGTTTAATCTCGTTCATTATGTTCTTCTTTTTTTTTGGTTTATGCTATTAAAATAACTTGTTTTAAATCATTTATTCATCTTTTTTAATTTTATTTTGTTCAAATTCACGTTTTTTACTTTTTCGCTGATTTCCATGCAAATTATTTCGGGTTATAAAACGAAGATATATTGTGCCTGAAAATGACCAACTTTATTCTAAGTATCAAGAAATTTTTCTCTAGTTGTGAACACTTCACTTCCATTCTGTGTATAGTTAACTGGTAAGATATAATGTGTTTTTCTACTGTTTCTATTTTCATTTGCGCCGTGCACGGTTGTGGTTTTTTTGCTGTCCGTTTTATGTTTAGTGCAATAAAACTTTCAAAACCCTCTTAAAATTTGTGTAAAGTACTTTCTCTGAATTACCTATAAACTCAAAAAAAAGTCGTTTGTCTGTTTCTTTCATACTGTTTTATTACTTCTAGATTAAATATACATTACAGACAAACTCATTGACTATCATTTTTTTGTATTTTGTTGTTTTGCTTGAGAAAACTAATTATTTAGATGTTAACTGTAAATTATGTCGTTTCCGTCGCAAGTGCCTATAATTAATTCAATGCAGGTACCTTTACAATATTATCCATCACCCGTTGGTAAGTAGGTTACTTTAAATTCCAAAACATTTTTGATTATTTAATCTATCTATTATTCTATTATTCTAGGTGTGATGCCAGTCAGTATGGTAATGCCCACAAATGTAAGTAGTTACTCTATATAAGAGTTTGACTCAATGCCATTCTGTATCCTCAAGATCATTCACCTGTAAGACTTCAAAAATAGATTTCATTTTATTGTGACCCATATCTGACGAAACAGACGTACAAAACATATGTTAAATGTTAAGCTCTGTGAGAACACTTTCTTTTCATTGCATTAGATTGAAGTTGTTCGTCCTGTCACATCAACTGCAACAGCCTCTAACACAAATGGTGGGCATAGTAAGCAAAAAGGTGACAATGAAAAAGTAAGCTTTTGCTATTTGACTAATGTACTATAATTTAACTAGAATGATTTTATTTTAGTCACATACTAAAGAACGTCCTCCCACTACAACAGTTTTTGTAGGTAATATTAGTGATAGAGCACCCGATGCGATGATTAAACGAATGCTACAGGTAATAGTATAATTAATTAATATAGTCCATTCTTTTCCTCGAAAAATTGCTGTTTAGAATTTGGCGTTTAAACATACATATACACACACATACAGTCATTTGTTTCGTATACGTAGCACCCTGAATTATTGATTATCATATTACTGATATTCGAAGAAAAACTCTAAAAGCGGTAAACGGACTAGATCAAGAAAAAAAGTTTTTTTTGTTGTGCTTTACACTCAGTCAACTTACTTAGGGACTTTTTTTGGGTTTAAATTACTCCCATCACTCAGACATTGATTGTAATATTGTTTATTCTCGATTTAGCATTGTGGCAGCGTTATCAATTGGAAACGAGTACAAGGAGCTAACGGAAAACTACAAGGTAAATAAAAAGTCAAAGTTTTTTTATTCTGATTTAATTTGTTTAATATCTTTTTAGCGTTTGGATTCTGTGAGTACGAAAATCCAGAAGGAACATTACGATGTATTCGATTGTTAAACAGTTGGCAAATAGCTGATAAACAACTTGTGGTAAGTGAAATAATAGCTTGTCTTTTGCAAAAATTCTATCTCATTCGAAGAGATTCTTCATAAGTCTCAATAAATGATCTCAACACCAAGACCAGTATTGATGTGTTCATTGTAAGTGTTCATAATATGATTTGTACTCCAAATAATAAGACATTTAATAGTTGCAAAAAAATCATGTATACCTCAGAAATTATTATTTTTTCTGATTTTGAGTATGCTGATAGTGTCGATCTTGATAGACAAATTTGCGAACAAGGATATTGCGAACTTTTACTCTTTATCAAGTGTTACGTAACACACCTCTTTCATTAATCGAATGATGATATATACCAATATTTTTCTAACTTGTTTTCGATGCTTAAGTATCCTAAGAATTTGTCAATGGGAGGAAATTCAATATATAATTCTTCACTTTCAAAGACAAAATATGCTTTTTCTAGATGAGATATGGTTCTTCGTTTATGGATATATGTTTTGCTTCACTACGTTCAGTCAGATGGTAAATTTGTATATTCCTTTGTGGTATATAAACAATGTCTAATTTTTCTTAATTTAAAATCGACTCGTTGTGTTTTTTTGATCTTCCTCATAGTGTGCGTGAGACACAGTTTATATGACTAAAAGACAAAGTTATTCCAAATTAATATTTAACAACACGATTCACACACATATGTAAAGATTGAGTGAGTGTAAAATAATTATATAAACGTGAAAAAACCGTGTTCTTTATTCTAGACGTTTAAAATTTTAAATCTTTTTACAGGATTTGGCCGATAAAAACATTTTAAAAAAGGGAAAAAAAAGATACTGAATAAAATATGATCAGTTTGTTCTTCAAATAAAAGTAAGAAGATTAGTCGTACTATTATTTTTTTTATCTAAGTATTAAAGTAATATTTTAATAGTTGTGAAAGAGATTATAAGTGCAACAGTTAGTCACTCGATCTCCTAAAAAAACATTTTTGACAAAAAAGCTTTCTATTGAGTAATCTAAATAAAAGAAACTATAGAAAAACTCATTATTTGAATCTCTATTATTAAAAACTTTTGCAGTGCATGTAGGGGATTCCACCACTTTTCGAATCATCCATTATCTCATATTTTAGTGTGTAGAGCGTTTTAATTAGATGAAGCAAACTATTCAATTGTTGTTTAGCTTCACAATCTCCGTGTTGCTAGTCTGTTCGATGTTAGGATCTTGTCTCCAGTCAATGAAACTGGGTATGGTTAAAATATTTTATGAATGTGTGTGTGCTAATATCTTATTCGAACAGTGTTATATATGAGAACAAGACGGTTTTGGAACCAAAACTTGTTGATCATAGTTCGTTCATCACTAATATTTTTTAGTAATACTGGATCAGCTGCTATTCCTATCATCTTATTCTAGGTTAAAGTCGATGCCAAAACAAAATCTTTATTAGATGATTATAAAAAGAAAAAACGTCATGAAAATGCTAAAAAAGCAGCGAATGATACCACTGCCTATAAATTTGTTTATGAGCCTGATACAGACGATGAAGATAAAAAATCACTAACAAAATCAAACAGTAACAGTACGAGTGATGGTTCGACAGTAAAAAAATCCGGTGAAGAAGGAGAAATCGAAGAAGAGGAAGAGGAAGTTGATACAGCGACAAAAAATGAAGATAAAACCATTGCGAATAGTTTGGATACTGTCATGCGTGAATATGCAAGAGAAATGACAGCACGAACAGCTGAAGCAAAAGAAAAAGAAGCTAGTGGAACATCAACAAATCTCCATTATCATAATGATAGAGTATTAATCCATCATAATCACTATCACACTCCAAATGTTTATTCATTAACAAATACTGTGCAGCAGCAACAACAACAACAACCATCGACATCTAGCACAACAACAATAACAGCTACGACAACTGTTACAGCAACCACATCAACTGTTGTTAATAGTGCAAATGGACAAACGTTGGGTAAATCAAATAATCCAGCATTAAACGAAATAAGAGTAGATGATGAGAAACGAGATTTAGTGACGAATGAAATAAAAATGTTTCGTGATAAATTTAAAGATGAAGATGCCAAAATGCGTATGACTGAAAAAGAAAGGAAGGATCGTTACGATCGGGAACGGCAGCAGCAACGAGAAAAAGAAAAGGAAAAACCATTATCGTCACCGACAAGATCACCATCGGGTAAAGCAACAACGCCCACATCTTCTCATCGATCGTCGAATCATGTTTACGATGAACGTAGTAGTGAACGTGCATTGTCTCCAACCGACGATTACCGTTCATCATCCTCGTCAAGACGCCGTGATATTAAGTCAGAACGTAGTGTCGATGATCGTCATTCTTCTCGTAGTGATTATTATCGTAGTTCCCTGAGAGATTCCAGAGATAGTAGTAGTAAACATAGTAGTTCAGCACGTCGACCTTCACCACCGCCCCGTCGTCCAGATCCTAGAGACAGACGTGATAAACCATCTGCTTACAGTAAAAAATCAAGATCAAAGACGCCACAATCATCTTCATCTGCAGCAAAACGTTCAAAAACGCCAGAAGACGAAGAAGAAGCGTATCAACGAAAGAAACAAGAAAGAAAATTAAGAGAAAAAGAATTACGTTATAGAGATGTGAGTTCATAACGAAAAGTATTCTAGTATTCTTGTGACATATTTGTTTACTTTTAGCGATTAAAAGCATGGGAAGGACGTGAACGTAAAAAAGAAGTTGATCATGACGCTGAAAAACGACGAGAATTAGCTCGACTTCGAGAAGAAGAAAAAGAAGGAAAACGTTTATTGGCATTTTTGGAAGATTATTCAGACGAAAAAGATGATATTAAATTTTATAAGTGAGTTTGGATTTGTCAATTGTTTTTTTTTACTTACCGGATGATAAAAATCACATATCTCTGCTACCAGAAGCATCAGTACGGTACAGCTTTTGCTTCTCTAATAATATTTGAATAAAAGATCGGAAATGGTCAAACACCTTATTTACTAGAGGAAAGTGTGTTCTTCTAAATCTATTCAGCGATTAGCCTAATCCACTAAATACTTTTTGTTATATTAGGAATATAAAAAGTGGTCGAAAAAACGAATTTTGCTATCAAGCCTTCTAATAGTTCGACTGTGGTGAAAAAATGGTCAAATATTTTGAATCAATCCAAAGATAGACGTTGAAAAGCACACTTTCTTCTACTAAACAAGCTGTTTCTTAGCTTTTCATAATTTTTCTTCGCCAGACAAATAAAACGAGCAAAAACATAACGCTCTGATGCTTCAGACAGTCGAACTGCACAGTTTCTGTGTAAAGCACTAATATGATGAATAATTCAACTTTCGTTCTTCTGAAACAAGATGTTGACATGTTTTTAACTGATTGGTGTTTCCGCGAGTAACTACTTTCATAATTTTATAATATGTTATAAATACAAATATCATTATGAATATAATTTATTTTCATAGAGGACCATCACTAGCCAGAAGATTGAAAGAACGTGAGTATGAAATTGAAATCGACAATCGAGATAGACATAGAGAAAAAGAAGAATTAGAAGAACTACGTCAAAAATTAACACAACAAAATATTGAAGATGTCGAGGGCGAATTGAAACGGGTAAGAAGAAGAATAGCGTCAATTTCTGTAATTAATTACAACTTTTGTTTTCTTACAGCGTGTTGCACATGAAGAAGATTCAATTCGAAGACGTTTGGCAGAATTAACACACACTACCAAAGACTCGTCCACAACGTCATCGTCATCAAGTTCAGAAAATGAAGAAGACAAAGGAAGTAAAGCTCAGAAAGATGTGCCAAGTGAAATGGACACATCAATAGCAGCTTCGCAACTTTCAAATATCGACGCAGCTATGACAGGTGAGTTACAAAATGTTCACTGCTTCTCTTTATTATACTTAATAATTAAATTAAAACCCTTTTTGTTCTTTAGCCACAGAAATTGCTGATCCATCGTCTTGGCAAACAATCAAAAATTCAACAGCTGTAACTCAATTAGATGATGTTTCACAGTCGCCAGGAATGAACTCTTCTCCACCTCCACTGCCTGTTGGTAAGCTGCTTGTGAATAGCGAAGAATATTTTATTTATCTTTTTCATGCTTTTAGTTAATTTAAAAACACCCTTTTTTTTAGATAGTCCTCGTCAAACATCAGTGGGTAGTGTTACCATATCTGGCACAAAACTACCGTCAAAACGTAAACTGGCCGTTAATGAGGTAAGAACTGGAGATTTTTTTCTCTAAAATGTATTAAACGATAAGTTCTTGTTTAAGGCATTTTTGGATGATCAAGAAGAAGATTCATCTGATGCATTTCCAAAGAAATCCAAGTTAGCGATATCCGAACAACAAAGTCAGTCAACTTTTCCCTCAACTTTACAACAACCATTAACACCGCAATCTGCTAGCAGTAATCGTCCATTATTGATTAATAAAGTGCCAGTAAACACGGACGAACGACGTCAAGCTGTTCGAAAGTTAATTGAAAGTATTCCAACTAAAAAAGAAGATTTATTTGCATTTTCAATTGACTGGTCATTACTCGATAGTGTAAGTATCTATAAAACTGTAAGTCAACGACCACTATATGCTGTTTGAATATTTAGTTACTTATGGAAAAACGTATTAAGCCATGGGTTACAAAGAAAATAATTGAATATATTGGAGAAGAAGAGCCAACATTAACAGATTTTATATGCACGAGCATAATGTCAAAACAAAATGCTGAAAATATATTATCAGATATTCGAGTTGTATTAGATGATGAGGCAGAAATATTTGTTGTAAAAATGTGGCGTCTATTAGTTTATGAAATTGAAGCTAAACGGCATGGTCTTAGTAGATGAGTAATTTGTTATGCTGTTTTTACTGCTGACAGTTGAAATGATTGTGTTGTTTGATCGTTCTTTTTTTCTTTTCTCTTGTTGTTCAATACATCAACCACACAGTTTCTATTGTTTTTTTCTCAACCAAAAAGAATCATGTGGCATGTGACTTGTTTTTATTCTGTCTACTATTTTCTTTATTTTTTTCGTCTCTGTATAATGTGAATGTCACGTTTCAATTTTCTTTCTCTCATTTCCTAACTAAACATGAAAAAATAGTTGTACAAACAAGCACTAATTATAAGATCATTTCTTCGTGTTATTGTATTTATGTATGTGCGTTTGAATGTGCGGATCTTTTCGTTTGCGTGCGATCTGAACGGATAAAAGAAAGTAAATTTTCATACGTTTTATATTATTACACACGTACGTGTAAAAATAAAGCCTTAAAACAAAAAGAAACAAATAACGTGACGACTGATAAACTTGTCTTTTACTCCGTAGTAATTAAATGGTAACAATAGTCATAATTAAAAGTTAGGAATAAAATAAATGTTTGCTCGTAATTACATGGTATTTGACGAATAACGAACTAAAGATATGAGTGATTTTAATTTGGACAGTGCCAATATTAGGCTTTCTTTAGCACAAGAGGCAAAGATGGTTGCTGTATTCACGACACTAAAATTTAGTAATCTATAGAATTTTGAATAATGCGTAGATACGCATATCAGATAAGTCGTGAAAAGTATTTTTACGATGAAACATATTGAGAGTTTTTGTATCATTCTTGAAATCCTCTTTTCATTTACAATACTTTTAACAGTTCGTTATGATATTGTTATACCCATAGAAAAGTTTTGCTGGATGGAAAACTTTGTTTTTCAGTTTATATTTAAACGTGGCAAATGACATGAAAAATTACATATAAGTAATGGAAACGGTAAATAAAAACAATATTTTATTGATAATAAGCAGAATATCAGATTACTTAACATCCGGTACTTGTAATATTCAAAAACACTACACAATCTTAGTCGAAATTGTTTACTTACGGTTTTCTTGCTAAATTTGTGATACATTTGAATTTTTTTAAGAAACTTTAGTTTATATCCGCTGGACAGAGCAATCACTGTCAGAGTGTCACGAGTTCATTTATAACGTCATCGTTTTCCTCCCATTTTCTCTTGGTTCTACTCGGTTGCTACTTCTCATTTCTTACGTGAATAAGAAGCCCCCGTCACCAATAAACGAACATTTGCTTCTATTTACGACGTAAACATCACTAACCTTAAAACGCAATTTATTAATATGTGCTAAGCAAGAGATGTACTTTACAATATTACTTTGCAAATATTAACCATGAATCTTTTTATTGTACAAATGAAAGTCTATGGGTTTCTGAATTCAAAAATAGTCTTAAAAGAAAATATTATCATAAAGATCAAAATCAAACACCTTATATCATAAAAATTGCCGAAAAACATCCATTTAATCGCGCTTAATATTCAAAATTGTGGCAACTTTTACGACATAAGATTCAATCGTTGTTTGGAATTTAAAACAATACATATGCCGATAAGTAACAAGAAAAACAAAAAATTAATACTAAATATATCATGTAATGCTTTTGAATCATCATTTTGTTGAACCATTTATGACTATCATAAGAGAATCTTCAAGTGAAACGTATTACATATAGCGAATTCGAGCGTATTGATCATGAATATCATGATTTTAGCTACCACTGCTAGAATCGTGATGCTATGCAAGTAACTAATTTCAAATAAAATTACATTTGTTTCAAAGTAGGACTGCAATGGTACGAAACAAAAGGATCATTCAAGTTGAATAAAAGATAGCTAAGTTTTCCAAAGTATACAAAGTATATAGTTAGTTTTTAAGTATATATTTACTTTTCTTTTAGTATAACAAATATATGTATAAAAAAAAAAAGATTTTCAAGTATAAAAAGCAATAACAAGTTTCGTCAATAAAATGAAAACGACAGAAAATGTTTCGTTAATAAAATTTTAAGATCGCTAAGATAAAAGATTATCATTCACAAACTCCTAGAGCAGAATAAAATCACAAACGTAGAAGGAATAACCCCCAGTCACAATGTTTTCTTGAAGAATATTAAACAACTAACTATTCTATAGGTCATAATCCACAAATAAACAAAAACAAAAGATATTTTAGTAATAGCATACGTTATTTAGAAAAAAGAGAGCAAAAATTTTGCACGAATGAAAATATTTGTAAAATAAATAAATAAGCACAAAAAGAAAACAAAAATGAAGCAATAGTAAGGCAAGAGATAGAAAGCGAGAAAATTTTCGCAACAAATGAGAATCACACGTCTTTTGAACGATTAAAAAAAATTGATAAGCACATTTCCAGTGGTTTTTTATCGAGACATATACAAAAAAGAGCACTAACAACAGTAAAGAAAAAACTTACTAACAAAAAACTAGCGTATATACATTTTTAAATAAAGGAATGTATAGGTATTAGTATGTGAGTTGAGATCAGGCTGCCAGCAGCTCTATTTTTCTTCTACAAAAAAAGAAGAGATGATGATGATAATGAGTATTATACTGTTCGAAAAGCAAACACTATGAACTACGAATAATGCATATCTCGGTGTATATGTTTGGTTTTGATTGGAAAATAAAATAAACAAAGATTTCACGAATAGTCTTTTATTGGCGTGACCCAACTAACTCTGCTACCGCAGAGTTTAAGACGCCTCGCGACTCTCTGCATGGTTTGATTTGGTATATATCGATACAACAAAATGAAGAAAAAATGTTAAAGAAGCAGAATTAGCTGATCACGCCCATATTTAAATTTTGAATGAATTCTATTTTCCCCCGCTGGAACCAAAGAGTCTTCTTTCTTTTAGTTTTGTAAGACTTGATGATCGCATTCTATTTTGAGGCTGCTGAAGAACAGGATAAGATGTAACTGTTTGTTGTTTAAAATAATCATTGTGTTTTAATTCTTTCAGTTTTTGTTTTAAATGGTCACGATCTTTGCTTGATTTAATACCAATGGCCTAGTATGAAACAGAGAAAAAAAAAAGGATGCTACATTGTTTACAAATGAACAATCAATCATACCTTTAATTTTGTACCATCTAATGTGAGCAATTTTTCTCCATCAATATTTCGATTTAAAAATAATGGAATAAATGTATTCATACCAACAGATGACAACCATTGAATACATTGATCTGATGTCCAATCTTTAACAGGTTGATCAAAATTTAATGATTGTTTGCCAATAATATGCTACAATGTAACGAAGATATTAGTTTTTGAATAATAATTTGAGTAAAAGTTTTAATACATACCTTTGAAGTCGAATTGTTAGCGTCGTTCTTACTAACTTCGCCTGTTGCTAAATTTTAAAATAAACATGACAATATCATCGTTAAATAGATTTTGTCGACTTAACGTACTTGTTAATTCAACTAGATGTTGTTTTGAAGCATTAGAAATTGTCGGTGATGGTTTAGCGACCAGTGTAGATAAAACGTTGTATTTTAAATTATTGTTATTTTGTTTTAGTCCATTTTGAATTCTAGAATAAAATGTTGATTTATTTCACTTCTATCTTATATGCTACACATCTAAAACTTACTCATGTTCGTCATTGCCATTGATACTTTTTTCTATATCCAGTGAGTGTGATGCACGTTTCGTTGGCGGATTTTTTGGACGATTTTTTGCTATTTGACTCTTAGTCATTTGGATACTATTATTTAATAATGGACTTCGACCAACCTCAAAATCAAACTTTGTTGACGTTTTTAAATTTTGTATATCATAAGCTAAATTAATAAATCAGATGTATAATACATATGATTTTGAAGGGTTTTCACATTTGAACTATCATCTCACTATAGGAACTATTCGTAATATCAAAACTATAGGAGCTATCTATCTAACTTACAGTTAGAACGCATATTCCATGGATTTTCATCATTTTTAGTAATTTTTTCTAACGATGACGAAATCTTTGGTGATGCATTCACAGATTGATTTTCAGCAGGTGATACAGTTGTTCGACTGGAAGGACGTTCAGGAATTTGACCAGAGGATGTTCGAGATCGACCGAGTAATGGAATTCGTTCTGGTATTTCTGGTTTTTCATCAGGAACAGGTGGTAATTTTCTCGTTAATGAATTTTGTCTGATTTCTTTTGAAGGGGAGAATCCATTTATATTTGTTGGTGTAGCAGCTAACATTAAATTTTCGATATCTTCAACCTAAACCAATAGCAAACAGATTATATGAACAATGAAACACGATAAGTCATGAATTATTTTATACTTTTTTCGTTAGTTCAGCAATATGTTTTCGTTGTTGTTCAATTGTTTCTACATATTGTGATTGTTCATTATTTAACTCAATTTCTCTATAATGAACGAGTAAAAAAAGGGATATTGTATGAATAACCAAATGTACATTATTAAATTTATAGATTATTGAGTTAAAATATTTGTTCATACTCGAGAGCGATCTTTATAATTCTTTGTCTATAACAAAGACGATACTCACCTATCCTGGTATTCTTTGATGAGCTTTTTAGCTTTCATATATTTTTCTTCGACATGCTCTAATTCTTGAACAGTTTCATGATACAATTGCTTTTAAAAAAAATGCTATTTTACAAGAGATTCTGTTTAGAAGAAAATTTTGATATTTACTTGATAATAGTTTTTTTCTTTACCCATATCGTCAAGCGTTGATTGTAGTGTTTCAATACATTTTTTCAAATTTACCAATTGTTCGCTGTTTGCTGATGATTGTTCAAACGTCTGTGATGATGTTGCCACAAGCTATGTTGAAAGAAAACAGATCTAAGAATGAAAACATTTTCAGTAACAAAAATACACGTACTGTTGTCTGTGGATAGGGCGACTGATGACAGGATGACGTTATCTGTTTATTGTCGTTCACGGCCCATATTGGCTAGAGATAGACAGATCACTACTTTTTCAATTTTCAACTTTCGAACTTCATTTACCTCGTAATTTTCTTCTTGTTCTTGTATTGCTTCCACATTCGAATGATCAGCAGTTGTTTCGGTCTGTTTTTCCATAGATGACTGTTGTTTTGACGACACTACATCCTAGAAGTGCGTATATGCAGTAGAAATACCAAAGTTAAAATAGATTAGCTAGCTTAACCTTTAAAAAATCTTCATTATCTTGTACAATATCATCATTTAATTCAATATTTGGAAAACCATCATCACCATAGTCCATCGGTGGAGGTCCATAATGTTCATGCTGATGTAAAACTCGTTGTAATTCACTTCTTTGGCGATCCATTTGTAACGATTGATGAATTAATCGTAAGACTTCAGAGTTCTCCGGATCTTTTTCTCGTCCAATCAAAAATCTAAAATCACAAATAGTAGGAAAACAATGAAGGTCTAGCTACTAGACAGAAAATAGACTGCTCTACCTGACAGAGCCTACTGTGGCTTTTAGAATTCCGGTGGCAAATATGTGAGTGACACCAACTAAACTATGATTATCAACTTCTATTATCTGATCTCCAACTTTTATTCTAAATAAAAGAAAACAAGTAAAAATATTTCACATTATACTGTATTTATTTTACCTTCCATCACGTGCAATAACACCATTTGGATTCAGAGACTTAACAAAGATTCCCAATTTTTCTAGACCAGAATCAGCACCGACACCCATGCCCAACACACTACAATCAAAAACAAACAAACTCTAATTATTAAACTAGAGTGGATATTTCATTATCATACCTTATACCCAAACCATCAGGTCCTAAAATATAGAATAATAACATAATGTGTACAATCTTATTCGATAAAGACCCTAACGTATCTTACCTTTCTCGATATAGACAGTAAATACATCCATTTTTTCAATCCGTTTTTCTAGTTCGTACTCAGCTGAGGCTGAGAATGGATCAATCTCATCGTTTCGTCGATCATATTCATTTACTGAATAGGTTGGATATACCTAAGAGATAAAAGAAAAGAAATAAAAAATTTCAATTAAAAATTGTGAAATTTCTTACTCGAATCGGTGCAACACTAAATTTTACACGTTTTGCTGTTTTTGAAACTATAGTTGGATATAAATGTTCATCGTCTGGCATTTCAGGTAATCCTGGTATTTCATAATAAACAAGTGGTGATGCAGACAGATCATCATGTAGAGAATAAACATCTGTAAATAAAAAAACTATTTTGGATAGACTACATAAAAATATCTTCAGTACATACTATTTAACATTGGATTATCAATCCATCGATTATCATCATCTTCATTTTTCTCCCTCTCATAGATAACTTTATTATAAACATTCAAGCGCATATCCTCATCATTTTCTTGAATATTGTTTTCTTCCACTTGTAATAATTGTGGAATTTGTGGGTTTTTTTCTTCGTCTATAACAGAACTCTCGTTTTTTTTGTTAAAATGGAAATCTTTATCAATTGTTGTTGGTTTTATAAATACTGTATTTAAATGATCCATTCGTTTAAAAATATTTGATGGCAGCAATTTTGGTGGTTCTATACTGTTGTGTACTAGTGAATCATGTTTATCATCGACAAGCGTTAATTCCTCTTGCTTTTCCATTTCCCGTTGATGTTTTAACTCAACAGCATCAGCAGGAAACGTTGCCGGAAAATCACTTCCGCTCATCCGTTTTAAACTTGAATCCGATTTTGGAAAATCATAATGATTTGATTCAAATGACAAACTATTATTATTACTATTTAGTTTTTGTTGATGAGACATAATACTATAATCAACTTGAGTATCAGTATTCAATATTGTAGCATTGGGTAATGGTGAAGACGACGCAACATTGACAGGAATTATTGTAAACGACGAATCAAATGGCGAATTTTGTATTGAAGGACGATTTTTCAAATAATTATCCAAATCAGTTACCACCAAAGACGGTTTCCAATGATGATGATGATCAACAAATTCGACGGGTATATCACGAGTACGAGTAACAGTTTGAGAAGATGCTATATCACTTTCTTGATGCTAGAATGAGATAAACACTGCAAATTATAATTGATTGTTTCAGCGATTTTTGACAAAATAATATTATCGAGAACTTATGTTTGCAGCTGATCATTGTCAAACATGTTATTATCAGTTCACATACTTTTTCAGGCATACTATATCAGACTGTAGATGATCACATTATTACTTACATTATGAGGTCTTTTGTTTTCGTCACTGTCTTTCACAATTAATTTGTCATCATGCTTTGCATTCAATACTAATAAGTGATTTTGTTGTCTCAATTCTTTATCAGTAATATGTTTATCATTAGTGACATGCTCATTGCTCGTAAGATGTTGATCATGATTATTTATTTGAGTTATATCAGGAGAATGATTGAAATCATTTCGAATATAATGTTGATTTCGGAATGATTCATCTATTGGATTATCGTTACTATTATAAAATACGGGTGATACTTGTTGTTGACGAGTGGAAGATTTTGTCGTCGATGCTTTTGTTGTCTCTTCTTGTTGTTGAAAAAATTCTTTTGCTAAAATAATCAAGGTAAGTTTAGTTTAATAATTTTTTGACACGTAAAGTTACAAGAAGAGTACGTACCCAAACGAAATCGAATAGTATGATCTTCTGTGGTTGTTGATATCGGTTGTGTTATTGCTTCATTTGCAATTACAGTTGAACTTCCGCTACGTACAGATATCGATGATTGTATATTATCTGTTGTTGTTGAATCGATTAAACGTGAATTTGATAAACTTCTGCTTCTTTCAAATTGATTGATTAATGCCGATGTTAGCAATGGAGGACTTTCAGCACGATGAGATGGAAAAACCTCATCTAAAACACTCGTAGGAGATGTGGGCGCAGTGGATATCGGTGAAACTGGTGTATCTAATAATGATCTACCAGTTCTACTAATATTTTCAACTGGATAGTATGCGCGTGAACGATGTTCGCCTGTCGTTGTTGATGCATATTGCGTAAAAGCATTTCTTAACCGGCTTACATGTCCAATATATTTATTACTTGGTCGATTATTATTCTGATGTTGCTGTTGTTGTTGATGAAAATGATTAATTGATTCTATTTGATTATCGTCATTTTTGTTAGTTACTAAGTTCGAGGCCGATTCTGTTGCAGCAAATACAGATGATGCAGGTTGTATAAGAACATCGGATGCCATAGTGTTTAAAGAAATGTCTTATTAATATACACAATAGACATGAAAAATACAAGGAAAATTGTTGTTTTCCTTCTCTTCTATCTGTTCTTGTTTCTTCTTAATAAGATATATATCTATATATATATACCTTCCTTCGCAAATGTCTTTTCTTCTTTAAATGGATGTATATATGCAGTGTATAAGACAAAAGAAGAAATATTGTTCGTTCCACATCTATGCTATATATCAGACGTAAATTAAAATTTATCTTAAAAAGAAAACATATATGTCCTCTAATATACTAACAAAACTTAATTCAATTAATTTATGACAGCAAATCGAAACAGAGCATTATCCATCGAATATAAAATAAAGCAATAAGTTTGAAAAGTTGTGCAGAGGAGCCAGAAAAAACGGAAAATACCATGTTTTCTTTCACTATTAGTTAACTACTGCTCATATTTAACTATAGAGGATGGATTCAGTATTCAAAAAACTGTTTTCTTAGTTTTCAAAGCAATCCAATGGAAAAAATGCTGTATACGATAATTTTGTTCTTACAGAAAATATATTGGTTGTTCTAGAAGACCATTCTCACACGAAAAGCGATAGTTTTATTTTAAAAAAAAGATTAGTGAACAATTATCCCTCATAGTCTTTTGAAGGACAGATACACTGAACTTTTTACAGTATCAAAGAACTTTAAATAACCAATTTAACATTGGCTGGAATTTTTAAAGCATAATCACTAAATGATATTAGCTGGTCTTTTATTTAGTCTGCTTCTTAGATATTCAATTTTTCTCTTATATTCTCGGTAAGATTTACAGAGCATGAATCTAACACAGTCTCACATGAAAAAGTCTTGAATGAAATACCACTAAGAGATGAAAAAATCAACTTTTTGGCTACTCTAGTGGAAGATAAATGTTGTATGTGAACTATTGTGACTATAGCAGAAGGTTAAGGGTAAGACTGTTTATTCACGAAAAGTGAGAGTCATAACTCAAGCCAAACAACATCGAAAGAGTAATAAAAAATAACAAAATAAAGAAGATAACTAAGGTTAGAACCACAAGTGGTTCGTAGTGACTTTAAACTGCATATACGTCGAAAACAAAACATCATCACTCAAACGCTTTTAATTGATAAAAGAGAACGAGTTAAACACTGACATCAAGTGTAGAACTGACGTAATAAAATTAAAACGATCATGTTCTAACCGTAACATATGTTGACGCATAAACAGCCATTAATGTTCTAATAAGGCTTACTCTATTATAAATCAACTTTATTATAATATTTGTTTGTTTATTTAAATTGGCCTTTAAAACTGGAAGGATGCAAGACAAATTTGATCGAAAATAAATTTTCAACCAATCCTACGTCTTTTCTGCCTTCCATTCCATTCCAGTTTTTAGTAAAGGCCTTTAAATTTAAGTTCTTAAAATGAAACAAAAGATATTTGGTTTTAATTGGTTAAAGTTCGACCAACCGTAAAACAGAAAATTGAGAGTTAGTAATGCGCCTCTATTCATTAGATCGCCAGCCATGAAAAATACGTATAATACAGAAAATGACTTTTTATCGAAATTGCTGGAGATTAAAAACAAGAACCGATTAAAACGCACTGGATGTTAACAGTCTTAAAAGTCTTTTATTTTTTAAATACTTATTTTGTCTTAAAATGAAGTGGATAACTCATATATACACTTCGAAATGTTCACATAGATAGAGCGCGTTTCTATAGTGACAGGCTCATAACGTATAGCATACTTTTTGCGTCCTCTCTCCTTTTCTATATGCACCGAATTTGTTTAGTAGCAATTCTGATTCCATGATTGTTTATCCTGTCAATAATGAAGATCAAATATGTAGTCAAATGTAGTCTAAACTTCATAAAGCCTTAAAATTTATCATTGCAGAAATCGTTTAAAAGTTATTTTAAAAAGTTTTCTCAGTATATTAATGTGCAATTTCTTTTGTTAGTATTCTGAACGAGCTCATTTATATATGAACAAATGAAGACAGTTTTTATTGCAATTTTTTCTAAAAATTTTGGTAGATGCACAAATTATACAAATATCTTAACAGCAGTTTCAGAATTCAGTTACAGTACCAGAAAAAATTAGTTTTGGGAACGAAAATGTTAGGCTGTCAAGAGATTTAGTGTCTGTATCATCTTCTATTCGAAAATTAACTAGAATTCTTTTTGTTCTAAACGTACAAGTAAGACTCAACCCTTGTGTTCAAAAGCAGTGTGCTAATGACTAAACTCAGAATCGGGATTAAACACATCCATGATGTCTACTTAGATAAAATGCCGTACGCTTCTTTTTTTTACTGTTTCAATTTTTCTGTTTGTATTCCGAAAGAACAAATGTAGCAATGATCTAAGCACCACTAGCAAAAAAGTACTTTTTTTCTTGAATTCTTCGTCGAAGTATGGTGTTATCATCTACTACTGTTGAGACAGAGTTTTATGGCGTACACTGTAATGTCGTGAATTATTTATAGAAAATGTTCGGCGATTTTCAAAAAGTCCATATATAAATTCCTTGAGGATTTTCTAGATTCTAGAAAATCGAATTTACAAGAAACTTGGATTTTCAGCTCGATTTTCTAGAATTATGGAAAATACTTAGCTATTTTCAATCTGGAAATTCCGATCGCATCGATAGGTCAAAAAGTATGTCTTTTACGCGTTAATGTTTTCTAAAATATCGTTTTGGTATCGACAAAACGTTTTACAACGCGTTCAGAATTTGTCTAGAAAATTTCAAAACTTTCGCAGCATTGTGATACGTATGTGGATGCAAAAATGACGTTTTAACAAACTTTAACCTATAAAGACATATTTTTATTGATCTTGGGACGCGTTCCAGTGGTGCTATTTTAGTCCTTAGATGCGTTTTTGATCTCGGAAGGCAACGTTAGTTAATAAACACGCATTATGAGAATTTAGTGTATTTTCAATGTATTGTAATATGTCTGAAATGTTATAAAATTTTGTTGACACGTCTAGGCGCATTTGTTGTTTGTGTGCAGAAACAACGCGTTTTAAGCATTATGTAAAACAAACAGTACGCTTTCCCTAACGCGTTCCCCTAATGCATTTAGATGCGTTTGAGCCAAATAAAACGCGTTCTTGAAGTGTAGTTGAGCTTTAAGTAGTGACTTTTAAAGTCTTTATCATCTGAAATAAAAAATAGTATAAAAGACGGCAAAGTTAAATTAAAATCCAAATTGTAAGACTAAGTGCAAGAGTGAGTACTAAAACCTGATGAAGATTCAAAACGCCTGCAACGGCCAAGAATGTAATGGACTATAAACATCTGTGAGCTTTAGATGGATGTGTTAGATCGACAATCTTTGTTGAAAGAGTTTCATGGACCCTAGAAATTAATTTACCCTTTTTTCAAGTATCAGATCCCTAGTAGAGTTTCTGCTTTACTTTATTCATACAAAAGTATTAACTTATGATTTACACATAATATGATCGATCCACGTATACCGTATTCATCTTCGAATTTCCAGAATCTTGGGAATTATTTATAGAAAATCGATCGATTTTCTAGAATATTAGGAAATCAAACTCGAATTTCCAGAATTTATAAAATCGACGCCGAATTTGGTATTTTTGGAAATTCTATAGCGGTTTTCTGAATAAAATGAAAAGTCAATTTATAGAAAATCGCGAATTTCCGAAAAGTCAGAAAATCTACGAGCATTTTATAAATATCAGAAAAAACTTCACGATTTTCCAGATCGATTTTCTATAAATTAGAAATGAATTCCAAATTACAGTGTAGTAATTCAAGAGAAACGTTTGAATGATTGAGAAAAACAGTGTTTCGCTTTCGGAAACAGTTGTCGCTATTTTCTATTCTATAACAGCCCGGTACGTTATCAATCCAATTCGACCCATTCCGATAAACTGGCGGTGTCTAAAACCACTGGTGTTGATGGCTCTTCGTCACGGAGTATACTCCAGAAAGAAAGAGAAAAGATGTACATGGAGATGGTCGTGTCATACGATGACTAGAGCCAGAGAATGAGCTTATGACCTGCAATACCACGCAGATCATAACAAACGCTTATCACACACATCACCATTTCTCTCCCATCTGCCTGTACACATGTGGTCGTAGAGGGAGAAATTACTTTCCTTCTAGTGAGAACACACGCCTGCACAACTAACACAATTCAAAATTCGACAAATTTTTTCAGTTCTAGATAAGCTGTTTGTTTGAAATCTTTGGAGCAAGTAGCACTTATGGGGCTAGCTGTATGAAAAATTTCACCGCTTAAGTCATTGGGATGACAGAGAAAAAAAACTGAAAAAATGGTCTGTTTTATAACGGCAGGATCGATATTGTCCGTTTCGGCAAGATTGAAATAGCATGTATATCTAACGCGCAGACAGATAAAGTAACGCACACAACTATACTTCGGCTGATTGTTGTCATCTGTCGGAAGAATGGAGCTTGGAAAGTAACAACCATGATTTTCGATGAGGATATTAAATAGTTACGGAAGGCATTCAGTGTATTTCACAAATCTCTTTACTTGTTTTCGACTACCCAGGCGAAAAAAAATCGTTAGAAACGACACGAAAAACGCGTTTTTTCCGAACGCGTTAGCGAACGATCGTTAAAAGAGCCGTTTAAACGCGTTTTTTGTCATTCAGAAGTTTAGAATAACGCGTT